AGTACGCATATGGATCATATGTAAATTTGCGGTTTTGTTGTATAGTTTACTGATTTACCCCTGAGCTTTGTATAGGTAGTAATTTAAGTAGAGGGCTGATTGGTCTTTGTACATATGTCGGTTAGTTTAGACATATTAAATAGGCTGATGATTGTATAGTTAGTTTTGGATCACAAATCATTTGCTAAGGAAACCATTTTGCAGTTCATAGATACTCATGTGAATCATCCATTTGTGATGTATGCTAGTTCAAAGAAATTTCATTTTTCTCATTTAGCCAGTCATGCAAATTGCAGCACCTGGCATCATAGATTAGGCCATATTCCACATAGTATATTGCATCATCTAGGCATTTGTAATAAAGATGATGTAAACATTTCAAGTGCTTGTGAAATTTGTCCAATGTCTAAACAACAAAGATTAAAGTTTCCAGTTAGTACTATACAGTCTAACTCAATTTTTGAATTGATTCATGTGGACATTTGGGGACCACATTCTCAGAAATCCTTATCTGGTGCACAATGTTTCTTAACTGTTGTAGATGACTATAGTAGGTCTACTTGGACATTTCTCATGCATCATAAGTCTCAAAGTGTAGCCATACTCAGTAACTTTCGGAAAATGGTTAATACTCAGTTTGATACTAAAGTTAAGATAGTCAGGAGTGACAATGGGTTAGAATTCTTAAGTCATCAATGTCAAGGTCTCTTTACAGATTTTGGCATCTTACACCAAAAATCCTCTCCTTATACACCTCAACAGAATGGGGTAGTAGAAAGAAAGCACCAACATTTACTTCAAATAGCCAGGTCATTACTATTTCAATCTGGATTACCTAGAATATTTTGGGGAGATGCAGTTTTAACATCCACTTATCTGATAAACAGACTTCGTTCATCAGTACTTGACTTCAAATCTCCTTATGAGATCCTTTTTTCCAGACCACCAGATATTTCTCACCTTAGAGTGTTTGGTAGTTTGTGTTATGCTACAAACACTCTTCCACATAAAGGAAAATTTGATTCCAGAGCTATAAGATCAGTGTTTATAGGTTATCCACCTGCTCAGAAAGCCTATAAACTTTTTGATCTTACAACTCAGAAAGTGTTCATTTCCAGAGATGTAGTTTTTCATGAGACTACATTTCCTTATCTTAAACCACAGATTTCAACCAATCCCTTACCATCCAATTCTCAGCATTTTCCAGATTATCCAGATCAATGGGATGTAACTGCTGCACCCATTCCAGCTTTCTTTCCTTCTGACAATCATCATCCTCCTGATGATGATCACCACAATTATCAATCTCCTTCACATAATGATGATCCAGAAATTAATCCATCACACTCCCCCACTCTGATACAGTCTAATCCGAGTCCAACTTCTTATTCTTCTTCTCTTTCACCAATCAATAATACTTCTATTCCTCCATATTTAGTATTAAGAAAGAGTAATAGAACTAGACATAAACCAATATGGATGAATGATTATGTGACTTAAAATGCATGGCTTTTTCATGAAAATAGTTTACAACTGCCTCATTCCAGTTGTTCACCTCACACACCATATACTTTTCCATACTATGATACATCTCATTTTACCAGCACTCATTTGTCCTTTATGGTAGCACTAGATACTGTCCAGGAACCTAGTTCATATTTACAGGCCATCCAAGATGTGAGATGGGTGACAGCCATGCAATTGGAAATTCAAGATTTGGAAGCTAATGATACCTGGGAATTGATTGCTTTACCTAAAGGAAAAAAAGCAATTGGCTGCAAGTGGGTTTATAAGGTCAAGCTGCACTCAGATGGCACAGTGGAGAGGTTTAAAGCAAGGTTGGTGGCTAAAGGGTTTAATCAAGTTGAGGGTCAAGACTATTATTTAGCTATTCTCCAGTTGCCAGGATAGTTACAGTCAGGTTACTTCTTGCAATTGCAGCCAGCAAGAGGTGGTCTATCCAGCAATTAGACATTAATAATGCCTTCTTGCATGGTTACCTGGATGGGGAGGTTTGTATGATCCCACCAGAAGACTATGATAAAGCCAAATTAGGACAAGTCTGCAAGCTCAATAGGTCATTATATGGCTTGAAACAAGCCTCCAGACAGTGGAACAAGGAGTTCTGCAAGAAGATTAAGGATTATGGTTTTACTCAATCAGCACATGATCCTTGCTTATTCATCAAACAAACAGAAGGGATTTTCTTGGCATTACTGGTTTATGTAGATGACATCTTAATTACAGGAGAAGATGAATATTCTATTCAACAGGTGAAGCATTTTTTGGATGAACAGTTCACTATCAAGGATCTTGGACAGGCAAAATATTTCCTTGGCATTGAACTCACTAGATCAGAACAAGGTTTGTTTTTGAATCAGAGAAAGTATGTTCTGGATATCTTGAAATCAGTTGGACTCATTGGTTGCAAACCTACAACTACCCCTCTTCCCAAAGGTCATCAATTCTCAAATGAACCAGGAGCTTCTTTGTCAAATCCTTCCAGTTACAGAAGAATTGTTGGTCAGTTGCTGTATTTGTCTTTCACCAGACCAGATATTACCTTTGCAGTCAGCAGCTCAGCAAACACATTCAACATCCTTGTCAAGATCATTGGGATTCTCTGATCCATATATTGAAGTATTTGAAAGAGACACCAGCTTATGGATTGTTTTATCCTACTGACAATGATCTCAAGTTTGAAGCTTTTAGTGATGCTGACTGGGGTTCAGACATCATCAACAGGAGATCAGTAAGTGGTTTCTGCATTTTCATTGGCCGTTCTCTGATTTCTTGGAAAACCAAACAACAGGATACTATTTCCTGTTCTTCAGCAGAAGCTGAATACCGGTCACTTAGTGTTACCACCAGGGAGCTTCTATGGTTATCATATCTTGTGCATGACTTCTCTATTCCATCCCGGCTTCCAATCTCCTTGTGGTGTGACTATAAGGCTGCCATATATATCACTGAGAATCTGGTATTTCATGAGAGGACTAAACATTTGGAGATTGATTGCCATTTTGTACGGCATCAATATGAACTAGGCTTTGTTGTTCCTCTGTATGTGGCCTCCCTTGATCAAACTGCTGACATCTTCACCAAGTCTCTGCCTCATCCTCTCTTCTCCAAACTGCTATCCAAGCTTGGCGTGAAGACGTGTGTTCCCAGTCCAGCTTGTGGAGGGGATGTCAAAGATGATGAATATCCCCCTTGAAGATGAAGATCAGATCAAACAGTACGCATATGGATCATATGTAAATTTGCAGTTTTGTAGTATAGTTTACTGATTTACCCCTGAGCTTTGTATAGGTAGTAATTTAAGTAGAGGGCTGATTGGTCTTTGTACATATGTCGGTTAGTTTAGACATATTAAATAGGCTGATGATTGGTTAGCTGTATAGTTAGTTTTGTATAAGTATATATATACAGTTTGCTGTACAAAGTTGATATATGAAATACAGAACTAAAAATTCCCAAATCCATTTTCTAGAATTCTCTCCGATGAACCCTAACTTCCAATTTGAGAAAGACAGGTGCTGCGGCGGCATAAATAGATGAGAATACAGAGATATACGAGATGGATAATTTGAGAATAATTGTAAAAAGAAATAAAAAAAATTAAAAGAATTGTTGTGTGTATAAAAATTACATGTGACTTGTGTTGATTAGGTTTATACACCACCTGATAGGTGCTGATGTGTTGCAGCGGTTGTATATAATAATTTCTCAATGTGCATTTGGGTTTTTAGATTTTATTCTTGAAAAAAATTCATGCATCCTATTTTTTACTCTCTAGAACGCCTTTTTCTTAGTAATGCTATAACTTTAATTTTTGGTGGTGTTGCTCCTGATGAGTTTCGCCATGCATAGTACTTGAAGAGGGCTCCGTTGATTAAATCTTTGAAGATGTTTTAACAGTAAACTAACTTAATTTTGCAATTTAAAATGTGTACTGATCAAATGATACTTCATTTAACTGGCGTCATATGAGGGATTTCTCAAGGTTAGAACGTTGGAATTGTGGTAAAATTAATTAATTATGGACCTATCGTAATTAGCTGGAAATAAAGATATAATTTTAGATTTAAATTGTTGAATTTGTAAGAAATCCATCTATTAATTCTCTTTGACATTGGAATATGTAAGTTCTCTTTTGTTAAATTTGCCAGTTTCAATTTATCAAAGTCATCTTGGGCTGTCATCTCAAAATTAATTGGCAATGAGCAGGGTGGCCTTTGGCACTTATAAACATATGACAGATTCTTTACGACACCGATGTGGGATTTCTTGTCCAAACACCCTCTCTCAAGCTCAATAGCGTATTTGGCCTATTGGTGTTGCACGACACAACATAATTCACCAGATATACTGCTGGGTTAATCAACAAGTCATACACACGGGTACACATTTCGGATATACTGTCGGATTAGTCCAAAAGTCCACCCATGCGCACGGAAGCAATTGACGCAAGTCCAAAATACACGGGTCCAAGCCCGCATATGCGGATCCATAGTTATTACAGGTACACAGATTGTGGGCTCTGATACCATGTCAAAGACACCTTAGATTCCCATCTCAAAATCAATTGACAGTGAGTGGAATGACCTTTGCTACTTACAAACAGGTGACAGATCTTTCACAACACCGACATCCAACACAATTCTGCATTGCCACTTTTTGTTAAACACTATATCCGCTTGCTGTCTCAATTAACTCCGATTTAAGATGGGTAACCTTTTTTTTGGAGAGATAAAACTCTCCAAGTAAATTCCAACTCCAGGTTAACGCCACGCAAGGATATTCGAATTCGATAATTATTAAGTTGGATAATTACCTTTACCGTATGGACTGGTTGTTAAGTTCACAAAAGTATTTTGTTTCAGAACAAATTGAATAGAGAAGATTTTTAATGAACTAAACTTTCATTGCATGCAACGTAAAAGGAAAGTATGAAAAAGTTCGTTTTATAAACGTAAATGATTTAGGAATATATTGTGATCACTATGTAGAACAAACGCATTATTTAAGAACGCTGTTATACATAAGCACGTATAACATATGCTTTATTGTACAATGATTAAATTAAGTAGACATATAACTCTTCCCAAATTCCGACAATCTTATTCCATATCCTCCTGATCTCCACACTGGAGTAATAAACCTTCCGTTCATTGATCAATCAGAAGAACTTCACCCTGGAAGAAAAACATATCAAAACAACTGTTTACAATGATTCAAAACAAGGCAAATCTTGTAAGATCAATTATTCACTCCGTTCCGAAATAATAGTTTAATTCAGAGTATCATTTTTATTATATTTACATTAATTTCCTAAGTAGACACATTATAAAACCGAAAAATGTCGATCAAATGAGAAATTCCAAGAGTAAATAACCAGAAGAGTATTGATATTTTTCTTTCAAGGAAAAGAAAAATTACTTGGAGCAGTCAACGTTGCGAGAAATGACGATTGGAAAATTGATTCCACATTGTTTAGGGACCTGAGAAGCTCTCTTGATCTGGTCGTCACTAGCACTCGAAGCCAAGGGTTTCAAGCAAGAACAAACGCTTTGGCGATCATTTTTGGTTTTAGCCTCCGCGATAACAGCCTTAATTCCGCTGCAACAAGCCGGATCAACCTTTGAATTACCCATCACGTAGCCGAGGCAAGGGTACAAATCATTGTACACAGTGTCGCAAGAGATTTCTGCATGAGTTCCACCTGAGAAACTCATGATCAAGATGCCCAGAAACAAGACTAGGGTTTTTATCTTTAGGTTTGCCATAGTTTTCCTTTTCTTTCTAGATTGACAAAGAAAATGAAGGATTGACGGTTTTCTAAATTTTGAGTTTGAAATACATGGATGGGGAGGAATATTTATAGGTGTAACTTACGAGGATACGTAATCTTTAGGGTAGGTGAAATAAGATATTTGTCTCTTTATTATGTAGAGTTTTCTTGATCGGATTTTGTATTATGGTTGTTTGACGCTCTCGTACTTGGTCACGTGTAAAATGCACTATGTTCCGCAATACTTCATCTGTCCTGAAAAAAAAAATCCCATATTGTAAATTAAAATTTATACTTTAGGTTTCTTTAAATGATTGTCTTGTTAATTAGATTTTCATTTTAGTATAATTTATACAATAAACGGATTTTCAAACTTAACCATTATTTTCAAACTAATGAAATATTATTTGTAATACATAATTTTTCTTTATAATTAAGATTTTTTTTCTTGGACGGAAGTAATAATAAAAGTTTAACATAAAATCTTTTTTTACCGTGTCATTAGTACATTAGTGATTCACATCTTTAACTTTTGGCTAGTGGTTGAAGAAGAAAGGTCCTGAAGAAACGTGGTAAATTTTAGTTGGGTTTCTTTTCAAGTACTGACACTTATTCTGAGAATTTAGAAAGTTGGGTACGCTTTGTAAGTATAGAAGACATGGTGTCACAACGGGCACTTGTTAAAGTAACGAATGTTTCTTGCCACCTTTCACTAGCAATATATTCATTGGAGTCTAGAGATGCATGCTACTGCGGGTTTACTTTGATAATGATTACATTGGTTGAATTTTGAATGTGGAATAATAAATAATAAAGTAACGGTACAGCAATGTGAATTGAAATGGAATAATAAAGACTTTACTGATAATATAACAATTACAACTCCACATATTTACCGAGAATTAATATCGTTACATATATCCTCTCTCTCTCTATATATATATATATATATATATATGGGAGCGACTACAGTCCAGTCGACTAAATGATTCAGTCATATATTAAGCACCGTTGGATAGATAGGATAGATGAGAGCCATTAGATTGAAGTAATGGTGTTCAATGAGAAGGTGGAACCAATTTCACTGAATCATTTTGAAGTTAAAAAAAAAATAAATAAATAAATTGTTTGAGAAGTTTCAAAATTTTAACAAAATATCCAGCTTTTCAAAAACTACTATTGCCCACCAACTGGGGTTTGCACAAGTGGTAAGCTGTTTGATACCGTTTAAGCAAGGTCTCGGGTTCAAAACCTTGTGGATGCAAAAAATTCTTGTTGGGAGACTCACCCACCACAGCCAGGTGTACGACCCGGGTCGACCAACGGATTAGTCGGGACAAAACTCCGTAAACCGTGGCAAGCAACCAAAAACCAAAAAAAAAAAAAAAAACTACTGTTTCCTACCAAATTTTCAGTCGCCTCCATCTTCCATCTCTGTGCGACCCTCCATCCCTTCCTCCTTCACATTCTCCCCCCCTCCCTAATCTCATGTCTCTTCTTCAAGAACACTACAATATTTATAGAACATCATGGATTTCTCCAACAAATTTCAACTCAGCATAATAATGACTTAAATGTTAAATTTAATTGATATCAATTTTATTGGGACGTACATATTACAATTTTATTTCTGAAAGTTAAATGATTAATTGTCCAAATTATTTATAATGATAGAACAATTTGATACTAACAGAACATCTTCCTCTATTTATCTCAAATATCCTTGGATAACCAATCATGTATGCACGCATCATTCCGCTCAAATGAAAGTTGGTAGTTTCTTTCTCATGGAAGATCTTATCTGCAATAAAAAATTTTATTAAAAAAAATAGATGGACAAAAATAAGGAACTGATGTCGGAAAATCACGTCATTGGGGGGGAGGGGGAATGGGCAATTTCATCGGCGACGAAAGTCAGAGTGGAAGAAATTTTTCCGACTACATGGTTTCTATGAAGGGAACACAATTTTAATTAGATTAATATATTTATTTGGACTATTTTAAACTATGTAAATTATCCCATTAAATAAGAAAAAGTAAGGATTAAAGAAGATTTGTTTGTATACTTCTCGCCCTATCATTGTAAATGACATGTTATATTTTGATTGGACACTTAATAATTGTATGGTTCAGTAAAAAATCAATGACTGAACCCTAAAATTTTCCTATAAATATATATATATATATATTATCATATATTAAAGAAGAGTTTTCAATTGAACACATGACCTAAAATTAAATAGGATAATTCACATGGCAAAAATTTAGATAGCCAAGTCCACATGTCGTATCTACATCATTTTATCATTTAATGGTAATTTTTTAATATAAAATTGTACATTTATTTTAAACTAAGTCTAACCCACTAAAAAAAACTCTCCTAATAAACCACTAAAAAATGTATCTTAGCCTTATTTTATTTTTCTAAAGAAGAATTTAATCTCCATCTCTTTGGGAGATTGGGTCACAGGGTGAAATTACAAAAGCAAAAAACGTTAGTTCGACAATTTTAATATATATAAAATTTACAATTTACATGCATGTCGTAAAATTTATTCACGTTGGTAAAGTAATTCATAGAAAAAAGGATAAACTAACCTAAAAATATTAGAGGGCCAATGGTAAGATTTAAAGTTTTGGTAAGATTTAATAAAGACTTTAATTACAAATTTTAATCTATAAATCATTTTTATAATCTATAAATCATCATTTGCCCCCCAATTAAAGTTTTGGTAAGATTTAATAAAGACTTTAATTACAAATTTTTCTTAATTATATACACTTTTTATTTAACCCCCCAAGTTGAAGATTGAAAGTATTCTTAGCTTCATTATGATCTAAATGATATTTAATATTATAGCAGCCAACACATGGGATATGAATTTTAGCAGAATTTAGAAAAGAAAAAGAAAAATAGAGTTAGTTGTGAATTTATTTTTCATTTTTCTGAGAAGAAAAAGATGAATCGAGTTAGCCTTGGCATCTATGGCTGGTATGATTGGTAATGAAGATCAATGTTTAGCTCCTTATCCAAGGCCCTACCTTAACTTAATAATTTTTTCGTAAATTGGAAAAGCAAAGGTTGGGAACAATAAAAAAAAATTGAGAATGATCATAAAATCTCCACAAAACTTTTGAAACGCCAGGCTAACCACATTTGAGGTTCTTAACAGAAAAAATCCAAACTGAAAAACTATACTAGACCCTAATGAGGGGAAATCTTTCAAATTGTGTAGTAGTGCATGGAGAAGAGAACAAGCCAAACCATATGCTGATATTACATTGTCACATTATAAGAAATAAGGTCTTGTTTGTCCAATACCCATTTTACATTTTTGTCTCATTTTATCTTTTAAAACACCTCTCAAACACAAATTTCAATGCTATCAAAACAACTTTTTAAGTTAGATCTTAAAAAATATTCCAAAAATTATTTTTACACAATTTTCGTCCACCATCACCGAAAAACCTCTACTACCACATGCCACCGCTGGACCGCCCCTTGCCGCCGCCGACCGTCGACTGGCCGACCAGATTCCGGCCAAATTCCAGCCAAGTCACCGGCCGGCGACGGCCCAGCGTCGGCAGTGGACGGTCCGGTGACGGCGCCGGTGGTGGAGGTGATCCGGTGGTGGTCTAAAAATATTATTTGTTATTTGAATTATTACCAGAACAACTTTTTAAATTTTTTTTTTAACAACTTTTTAAATTTTATCTCAAACTGCATTTTAAATCAAATCTCAAACCCAAATCTCAAACTAAAATAAAATGTTGGCCGACAAGCCCTAAATAACTTGCTTCTTTTATAAAAATTTAATTGACGGGTGAAAGTGTTCATTCCGTGCATGGGTATCAGTCCCTTCGACAGAAGAATGCCAATTAAACTTAAACATATTCAGTTTTCAGTTTTTGGTTATTTTTGACAATATATACAAACTAGAGTGGTAATTTTTAAGTGGAAAAAGGGAAAGTACAACTAGATTGTGTCGAGGGTATTGATTAGTTTTTATGTACATGTAATATAACTGCTACGGGAATCTTTAGATTTCTTATTGGGAAACACTGGCACACTGGAGGCGAAAAACGGGTGAAGAAGCATTGACATCGAGATCAACTAAAAGACCGATGGCACGGGGAAGTTTAGTAAAGGATAAAGAGTTCCACCTCCAGGCCTATTACGGTAGTAGCATTAGGAAAGTTAGAATGTAAGTTAAAACGGGTGATTGACTTTGCATGTATTTCAGTATTTGTTTAATTCAAATTAAATCATTGCAATGGATCAACATTAAGGTATGGTCTTACAATATAGTTCAATAAGTAAAAAATAAAAAATATTGCCTTTCTATAATTCAGAGTTACACAAAATAACCAACCATTTTGTAGATGTTGGAACATTAATTGATGAGTTTGTTACTCTCTTTTAACTGCGATATAACCTCGAATATGATTTTACCTCAAAATTAATTAATAACGGTGGGGTACTATATGGAACTTACACATCGGTTATGAATATAGGTGTTCGTCTCTAACATGAGATGAGAGAAGGCTTCTTATTTCATTACTTTAAGACTCTCTTTCAAGTCTTAAGTGTTTTAAAAAACTGGATAAACTGTCGAACCAATAATACCCAAATACAGCTCATTATGTAAAGACCAAATGATTTTTCCAAACAATGTTATATGCTTAAGCTGAGTATTTCATCAAAATGGATCAACATTAAGGTATGGTCATACAATATGACGTTTTGTTATGATATAACGTTTTGTAATGATGTTGGAGGTAAGGATATTTATTTTTACTTCAATTGGGGTTAGGCTACACATCCGTTAATTGAGTGAACAAGAAATATATGAGTATTATGGCGAGTATAAATAAACGTAATTTAGTCATTTAATATAAATTTTTTTAAAATATAATTTCATTTTATTACGGGTAGCAACACTTACTGACAAATTAGAACTGTAATTATGTCCACTGACAAATTAGAATTGTAAT